ACTTTTACAATACATTTTATCAAACACTTAATTGTTTTATTTTAAAATTGTTTATTCTCATATCACAATATAAACAATTTTTCAAAACCACCAAAATACCAAATTAGCCCTAACACACAAGGCAGAAGACGAATTCAAACACTTCTATTAAAAGTAAGACAAAAACACCCAACAAAAAAAACCACAACCCTATTAGATAAAATCTCTGTAAATATTTTGCATATATCTATGCCTTCTCATCGATGCTTTGGAATAGAATCTGAGTTTTCCTTGTTCAATATTTCAGGGAGTTCTCAATATCCACCACAAACCGGTACTTCACATCCTTCTTTATAAGCCTCTCAATTGCTTCATTCACATACTGAATCGGAACTATTTCTATGTTGGGATATATTTTCTGAGCTGCACAGAAGTCTAGCATTTCTTGCATCTCTTTCGTACCACCCGCCACGCTACCAGATATCGATTTCATACCTGTGAAAGAAAAAAAAAATTAAAGATCAATGCATCTTGTTCAGCTAATCAGTAAACTACTGCATTGTTTAATGTAGCATAAAATCACTAATTTTCCAAATTTTAAAAACACCAAAACTTTGAGCAATGAAAATGTTGCAGTACCCAGAATTAGGCTCATAGGACTCAGTTTAACTTCATTTGGTGCCCCAACCATGACAAAAACGCCGGCAGTCTTCAGAAGCAACATGTACATATCAAATGAGTGATCAGCAGATACCGTATCGATGATGAAGTCGAGGGATTTAGCCATGGCCTGCATAAAATGAAGGTTAATACACTCATTACATTCAAATATGTAACAACTCATAACATAGTGCAAATAATGACCAAATTTGGAAGGCTTGTGCATTTCTACCTTCATCTGTTCTTGGTCGGATGAGACCACGAAATTGTCTGCACCAAGCAGAGTTAGAGACTCCTCTTTCTTGATGTGCTTGTGCTGAAAACTGTTACATTCAGTCCGAAAGCCTTACCAAATTTCACGGCTAAGTGACCAAGACCGCCGAGGCCAATCACGCCTAGTGATTTACCGGGTTGGTTCATCTTATGGCGTATCATTGGAGAATAGACAGTAATGCCGGCGCAAAGAAGAGGTGCTGCTGAAGCCAATGGATAGGATTCTGCTATCCTGAAGCAGTACCTGTATAAATTCAAATACATAACCAACAATGTCATTGATTTCTCATGGAATTGAAAAACTTGACTTATAATTCCTTGAGCATTAGGCAATTAGGTTATATGATGCTGACATAACATGAAATATCAACCATGCCGTTAATGCTTATTTTAACACATTAATTAGTAACGCTACGTGGCAGTACGACTGTTATCAAACTAAAAAATTTCTGATGAGAGGACACAAACGACACCAACCTTTCGCAGACAACAATGTAAGTGGAAAATCCGCCTTTTGTCATGGTACCATCGATGTCGAGACGATTGTAAGTGTAAACAACTCCTTTTTCACAGTAAACTTCAAGGCCGTCATTACAGTAATCACAATTTCTGCATGAATTAATGTAAGTTCCCACTCCAACATGATCACCAACTTTGAATCCGCGAACATTTGAACCGACCTCTTGCACAATGCCGGCAATCTCATGTCTGTAATTTGTACATTGAGCAGTAGTTAACTAAGAATTAATCATATGACAAAAATAAAATCATGAGTTAATGGATGAACATATACGTACCCAGGCACTAAAGGATAGGTGGCATCCCCATGTTTGTTCTTTGTCCAAACCACTTCAGCATAGCAAACTCCACAGTGTGTGATCTTTATGGAAACATCGTCACTCCCAACAGCCCTGCAGATTCATTAACAAATTCATTGTTAAGTAAGCAGTACGTTTTTAGCATGCAAATTATTAATTAATTAATCGAAATCGAGCGTACCGGCGGGCAAATTTGTAAGGGGAAAGAACCCCAGACTCATCTCTTGCAGCCCATCCCAGGCAATCCTCCCCCTTATTTGCATTTTCTGAGCTCATGTTGCTTGCATATATATGTAAGAGATCGAACGAGATCGTCAAGTAGTTGTGGGTTTGTTGATATATAGTAAAACGAGACCTATTTATATACTTGCAATAGGCTTTAAGGAGGATGTAACGATGACGCAAGGGCATGCGCATATATCACTTCATCATAACTATTTGAGAAATTAACAAGGAAAAAGGTGGTCACGAGTCACGACTCTTATCTCTTATGTTCATGGAAGTGGACCTATTCTTAAACCGTATTAACTAATTAAAATAATGATTATGGAATATTGGATCCTAATTAAGTGTCCTAATTGACTATGTACGAGGATTAATGTCCTTGGCCGACTCTATAGCTGAAAGGTGGAGAGAGAAAATTGATCTGAGAACCTATGACTGGCGGATGTATTGAACCTCGACCGAAAAAGCATCTGATCCCGCCAAAGATCGAGTAGGAGAGAGGAGACGATCGTCTTCTCTTAGTGTGGCTTCACTGCAAAAAGTAACTAACGTCATCTTCAACCGATGACTGACCAGATAGCTCGTTTTAACCCTCTGGTCCTTCAAGATATTAATATTTTAATGAACAGTACATGATCATATATGCCTTCGTCTCCAACCGAGGATCAAAGGCCATAGGGCTTGTTTTAGCCATGTCAGAAAAACCATCTCCAATCGAGGGCCATAGGGCCAAACAAAATTTATTATTTAAATTTAAAAACTACAACAACTTAAATTAAAAAACTACATCTTAAATTAAAAGCTACAACTTAAATTTAAAAACGACAAATTAAATTTAAAAACTACAAATTAATGGTGTAGGAATGATGAATGAATAGTTTAGGTATTTATTGGGAAAAAATTAGAATTTTTCAGAATTTAAAACAAAACAAAAAATGGGCCCAAAAAACCAAAAAAAAATAAATAAATAAATTGAATCCAACGGCTAGCTAACTAGCTGTTGGATTCAAATTTTAGTTTTAGCATTCCTGTCGGTTATAACCGACAGGATTGAGAGTTTTTCTGCCCAGCCCTCCAGCCCTTTTAGATTCCTTGGCGGCCTCTCAAATTCCACGAGCCATCTGGCCTAGCCCTCGGTTGGAGACTGTTTTCGAGCTATTTTCGGGCCTCTGGCCCTTTGGACCTTTCGGTTGGAGATGGCCTAGGTAGCTCCGAGGGTTTCCTTTTCCTTCTTAAATTGGTATGACATAATTCGAAGAAAAACTTATTAAAAAAATATCACTAAATCGTAATAATAATGACGTTTATAGTATAATTTAGAGAATGAAATAGGCATGTAATACTAATTGTTAATTTTTGAGCCCTCTGATCTAGCCCTTGGTTGGAGATAATTTTTGAACGTTTTTCAACCCTCTGATCATCTGGACCATTCAATTGGAGATGGTCTTAGGCCATCTCTAACCGAAGGGTCCAGAGGGCCAGAGGGCTGAAAATAGCCCTAAAACCGTCTCCAACCGAGGGCTAGGCCAGAGGGCTCTGGAATCTGGGAGGGCCCCACGTGATCAGAGAGGGCTGGAGGGCTGGCTGCTTTCGGCCAGCCAGCCAGCCCCGGGCTGGCTATTTTTTTTTTTAATGTTTTCCTATTAACCGACATCATTAAAGAATAATTTTTTAATACTGTCGGTTATAACCGACAATAATAGTTATTGAAAAGCAAAATTTTTATTTTTAATTACTATTAGTGTCGGTTATAACCAACACTAATAGTTTGAATTTTTTTCAATATAACGGCTAGTAGCCGTTGTATTAACTTTTTTTTTTTTATGAATTTAAACTTCTTTTTTTCCCTTTTTTTTTCCTTTTCATATGAATCAAATTTTGTTTCATATTTTTTTTCAATTCTATTTTACAAAATTTGTTTCAATTTTTTTTAAATTCTATTTTTTTTCCTATAACTTCTATTTTACAAAATTTGTTTCATATTTTTTTTAAATTCCATTTTTTTCCTATAACTTTTATTTCACAAAATTTGTTTCAATTTTTTTTTAAATTCTATTTTTTTCCTATAACTTCTATTTTACAAAATTTGATTCATATAACTTCTATTTTACAAAATTTGTTTCATATTTTTTTAAATTCCATTTTTTTCCTATAATTTCTATTTCACAAAATTTGTTTCATATTTTTTTTCAATTCTATTTTTTTTTCCTATAACTTCCTAGGCCATTTATACAACATTAAATTAAATTAAGTAACATGAAACAACATTAAACAATATGAAATTGTAGTTTTTAAATAATAAATTATGTTTGGCCTTATGGCCCTTTGGCCCTCGGTTGGAGACGGTTTTTTGTGACAGGGCTAAAACGAGCCCTCTGGCCCTTTGGCCCTCGGTTGGAGAAGAAGGCCAATATGGCCCTGTACTGTTCATTAAAATATTAATATCTTGGGGAATCTTGGAGGGCCAGAGGGCTCAAACGAGCCATCTGGCCAGCCTTCGGTTGGAGATGGAAAAAAAGAAAAGGAAAAAAAAAGGGGAAAAAAAGAAGTTTACATTCATTAAAAAAAAAAAAAAAAAGAGGCCTAATAATACAACGGCTACTAGCCGTTATATTCAAAAACATTTCAAACTATTAGTGTCGGTTATAACCGACACTAATAGTAGAACTATTAAAAAAAAAGAATATCTTTAATGCTGTCGGCTATAACCGACAGCAATAGGAAATCATTAAAAAAAAAATAGCCAGCCCGGGGCTGGCTGGCTGGCCGAAAGCAGCCAGCCCTCCAGCCCTCTCCGATCCCGTGGGGCTCTCCCAGATTCCAGAGCCCTCTGGCCTAGCCCTCGGTTGGAGACGATTTTAGGGCTATTTTCGGCCCTCTGGCCCTCTGAACCCTTCGGTTGGAGATGGCCTTAGCGTCTCAAAAGAGTACCCCCAATCAGCACCTAACTAAAATTTAAATTCAGACAGGAACAAATCCAACAAAACGACTAGTCGTAAATGATGAGACATTTTTAAACCATCAAAATAATTTCCCTCCACACACACACTCACACTCTCTCTCTCTCTCTCTCTCTCTCTCTCTCTCTCTGTGTCCCGCTGCGCAGTCCCACAATGACTGACACACAGCGTACTGCTCCGTCCTAATTCATACTGCAAACCCTAATCTCCCCAATTCCCCTCTCCGATTCTTCCATTTCCGATGGCCTCCGACGGACCCGATGAGCCCTGCAACTCCGAGACCGAACCGGAAACAATAGCCCTAAGAATCAAGCAGAAGCGCTCCCGCCGCGTGAGCTTCGCCGACACCGAGATCACCTCCGTCCACATATTCAACCGCGACGAGGAGTACGACACACCTCCCGACCCCAAGCCCCGACCCAGCTCTCAAAACGACGTCGCACAGGCCGAGAACCCGGTGATAGGGTTTTTTAGGGACTTGGGCGGTGACAGCGACGATTTTAGGGATTCCGATGACGATGACCAAAACGACGACGGGAGTAAGTCGTTTTTCAGGCCAAATGGATCGCCCTCTCCTGGGAGTAGTGTTCCGGGCTCTGCAACCTCCAACGACGGTAAGCTATAAACTTTTATCTTATTTTTTGATTAATTAGTGATTAATACACAATTAGGAAAGAAAAGGGAGATTCTTTAGAGGATGTTAGTACCTAATGCCTTATGTAATTGGTGCTTTATATTACCAGCTTACGTTATAATCGACTTTAAATTACTCGTCAGGCTGCAGATAATTGAATTTTTGACAGCATCGATTTTTGTTTGTCTAGGTAGTAATTCCACTGAGTAAAAAATTCAAGTGTCTTAGTGGAAAATTATAGTGCATTTTATGATTTATTTTTGCAGAAGACAATTTCTTTGGCCCTGTATCGGCCAATTTCATTAGACCAGGACGGTTATCTGATTCCGCGGCCTCAGATGATATTCATGAAGCTACATTGGATACTACAGCATTTTCAATGCATTACCGCAGTCTTGCAAGGTCAGACTCCGGAGGAGATCTCAAGACCCCAACGGCAGTGCGCCTTGCCTTTGAAGAGAGGACGCCAATCCATAGTACCAATGTTACTGATTCTGGAAGTCTCATGTCTCTAACAAAACCGAAGATGCTTACTCCTCAGTCTTCGGTCCCTGCTGATAAGGTTAGAAGCGGCGAAGATTCGAATGACATGAGTATTATAGAAGAAAACCCACATAAGTACGAATATGGAAGACTATCTCCGTCATTAGATGCACTTTTGGCAGCAGGCAGCAAGGATCTGCATGCTGACTCTGTTGCCGTCCCTGCCAGTTCAATGTCACCAAAGGGGGATGAGGTATCTGCATCAGATGAAAATGAGATTGGCCACATGAGAAATGGTAGAACTACTGACACGCCTAATGAGGCAGAATCAGTTTCTTGTATCAAGTTGAGTGAGGGAAATGGTGGTTCGTTTCATCAAACTGCTTATGATGCATCATCTAACAGAGGTCGTAATCCAGCTGCAGGTGACTTTGTTGATGGCCAAATCCAGACTCCGAATCAATTAAACAATGTAAGGATGTCTTTTGCAATCAGGATTTGATAGACCCATTAGCAGTTTGGTTTGATCTCATCCATTTGGTATTTTAAATTAGTAGATTTGATGATGCATGTCTTAAGACTCTTAGTTGTTGTTGTGAGGATTGTGGTTGTGGTGTTGTTAGAAGGGTGAAATTTCATGCACTTGAACCAAAAAGGTCCTGCCAGTGCATATGATTTTATGTACTTCGAAAATGAGTTTTAATAATGGTTCAAACAGAGAGTGCCAGTAGCTGATTTGGAAATTTGGAGTGTAGCCATCTTATAGCTTTTGTTGTTTGATAAAATGGACTGTGACTGTTTTGTGGGTGTGGGAAATAAACACTGGACTTTTCTATGGTTGGGTTTTGTAACAAAATAATGCGTGAGAAACCCCCTCTGTTTACCAAAAAAAAAAAAAAAAATAGTGTGTAAGAATGAAGGTAATGTAGTAGCTTTTTATGTGAGATTAAGTTGTTTGAGGTTGATGAAATTTGGCTGTTCAAACATGAAGGGTTTCAGTAGAAAAATTTGGAAGTTGGATATTTGGATTGGACAACAGAAGCTGATAGTTTAGTTTTCAGCTGGAGTAAATGGCCTCAGTTGCCAAAGATTTTGTCCAGTAGTCTAGTTGCTGTGATGGATGATGATTTATCGTATTAAAGTACATTTTTAATTTTAATTGTCACCATGTTATTATTGTAGTTGCATGTCCATAATCAACTTGTTCTATACTTAAATACAAATTTTACCATTATTCCATTCGATCTACACCAAAAAGAAACTAAATATCTGTTGTTATCTTATTAATAGCATCATCTTAGAGTTATCATGCTTAACAATTCAGGACTGGTCCTATTCCTGTCGACTTTAGCTTGCATAATTGATGCATTATTAGTGCTTGCATTCTAATTAACTATTCATTCTATTATATTATATGTTTACATTACCAGTGAAGAAAGCGGGAAGTGTTAAAAAATTAGATAAATGTGAGTTTTTGTATCGGTGAACTGATGCACAGGTTTGTTTGCAGGTGAATAAGGAATTTACTGAAGTTGGATCTCCAAGGGATATGAAAAAATTGGAGTTAACTGCTGTTAATGGCAAAGTCCTACCAGAATTCAATAGTGAAGCACTTCAGTTTAATGTGTTTGTCCAGCATGAACCTGCTTATCAACATTCAAGTCAAGGCATGGTTCAAGAATATTCTCTTAAGGAGAAAACATATAATAAAGATCAACATTTGGACCAACAATATAGATCACCGATGGAGGGGTCCATATTATTGTTATCTGCTAGACATCAGCAATCGGTTTGGAATACTCCTAATTTGGCAAGACACTCAAGGATAGTGACTCCATCCTCGAAACAACCAGGTTCCTTTTTAAGTGCGGAACACACGAAACATAATGAGTGGGTTTCATCAATTCAGAAAAGTATTTCTAGATTCACACTTCCTGAGCCTTCTCCTTGTGCTTCTAGTCTCAAAGATGGAATTGAAAAATTAAAATGTAGATTATCAAGTTACTCATCTGTGAATTCTCCCATAAAGAATGTTATGGCTGACATTAGCAAAGATCTCCAGTGCAAATTTTCTAATTCTCCTACTGCTTGTTTAGAGAAGCAAACAGCTATGCCTGATCTCAACAGTGGACAGAAAAGCTTATTTAACATGAATAGCAATGGGAATGAGAACCCAATAAACATCAGTATGTTGAGCCAGGTTAACGAGACCACAGACCTTGATAAAGATGAAGAGCCTCAGCATAGCATGGTTACAAACACTCCTTTGAAGGATACATTTGGCACACCAAGAAAAGCAGTGGCTTCACCCTCTCAGCTGTCATTATCAGGAAGCAAAATGACACACCACCTCCTGATGTTAGAAACTCCCACTGAAGGATTATTGGTTTCTGCTGGAACTGCTCCCATATTGGCTGGTGAGCGAGAAGATAGTCCTCCCCATCTGCAAATTGAATCTGAAAAGAACTTCCAATCACCTTCAAAAGGTGCAGTCATTCTAAACAGCCCAGATAAAAGCATTCCAGGTGGAGCAGAACCACTGCATTCTAAACCATATGTCTGCAGCAGCATGACTGAACAATACCTTCAGGTCTGTATATTTGCTAAATTTTAAAAGGACATGGACACTGCGCCTATGTTTTATACCACACAGATTTGTTTGTCTTTGCATTCCATGTCCATTCTATACACAGTAGGCTGGGTGTTGGGCTAATATTTACTCAAATTTGAAAACAGCTTTATATAGTTTCCCATGCTTTAGTTGGCTGCTGTTAAATACTAGGCTGTTCTATTTAGAGATATCATTACTTGTTCTGTGTTGCTTAGGGGTTTGACATTTTGTTCGGCAAATGGTCAATGCAGAGCCCTTCCAGTAAAGAGTCAGCTGAGAACCCCTCCACGAAGGGGCGAAGTCAGGGTCCACCCTGGGAGAATCCAACCCTGAATTCTACTGGGAGAAAGGTAACTCAGAGTCCCCTCAAGAAAGTGCCAAGTCAGAGTCCCCACAGGAAAGAATCAACTCTGAGTCCTCCCAGAAAAGAACTTACTCCAAGTCCTGGAAGAGAACCAATTCGAAGTCCCTTTGTGAAAGAGCTAACTCGAAGTCCTATTGTGAGAGACCCAATTCAAAGTCCTATTGTGAGAGAGCCAATTCATAGTCCCTTCATAAAAGATATGAATCAGAGTCCCTCAAGAAAAGAGTCAACAAATAGCCCCTCCAGGCTGGATTCATCTTATGCAGCTGACACTGAGAATATGCAACCCTTTGCTGGGAAAGACCTAGTATCCCACGAGTCCAATTCAAATGGTCATCCTAGTAGTGATGACTGTTATCAGGGAGTGTATAATTCACGTAGTCCATTTACAGGGCAAGATTCAGAGAAATCTGTTGGACGGAAACGACGAAACCTAGGAATAATTTCTGAGGATGGATACTGTACAGATATGATCCCCAGAATCCAGAAAAGCCCGAAAGTTCCCAGAAGTGAGAACTGCAATCCAGAGTTCATGCTGCATCAGTCAAATAAAGGTTATGATGGCAGAGTGAAGTGTGGGGGCGATACAACATGGAAGTGCTGGACTGATGTGTGTGTACTATTTCCTGTTTTGTGATAACTACTTGAATAGCCAGGTTCTCTGGCAGATATGATAAGTATTTTATTTTCATACTTTTTCTTATTTCAGTTTTCCCTCTTGCAGATTTTAGTAAAATTCTCAGGAGATACAGAACAACTGCTTTCTCCATCGGCAAGAAAACTAAATTTAAGAGCGGTATATTCCTTTTTTTAATTACTTCCTCCCAAGTAAAATCTAATCTGGGTGATAGAATTAACCATCTTATGGTTAAGCTTGTTATCTGTATCTGTTGGTTGACATTACTGTTTTATCATGATCATGTAGATCGGTGTGCTGGATAATATGCTGGTCCACCTATTGAAGGCTAAAAAATATGGGACGTTGTGTTCTGAGGTCCAGTCTCAGGTTTGCTGAATTAAATGGTCAATCAGGGTCTGTTATGGACATGTTTACATATTATAGTCGGACCAGATAGCATTCTTTAAATCTAATAGAACTTCTACACTTTCAATTTGTATGCTAATAATGTATTTAATGTGTACAGAAGTTCGACTGCATCAATGTTGGGCATAAAAGGTGGTGTCTTTCATCATGCCTTTTTTTTTTTTTTTTTAATTCTTACCTGTCCAGGAATGTGGGTTAGCTTAATAAGCATTGACATTAACCTTTGCAGAGTAGCTGAAGCAAGATTGCTGCTTTATAAAATAGTGTATGAAAAGGCAAAATTGCAGTTAATGCAAGTGAAGCGCGATAAATTACAGGTTTGCATTTTTTTTTTAATATTAATTAAGGTTGGATCTCTTATGTTTTTCATTTCTAGATATGCATACAGTTTGTCACCTGGACTTACACTTGCCTGCAGAGTAGAGTACAGCTCTTACGCTCAGCAATTCAGAAGTCTCAGATGCTGAAATTGAATTACATTCGTTGTCAGTCTGAACCTAGTGAATGGCAGACTCATGTTGATGATAGTCATCATCAGTCCTCTTTAGTTAATTCTGAGGGTGAACAAGAGGTAATCATCAACTCTAAGATTGGGAATCTATTTACCATTTTCTTTGTCCCTGTAATCGTAGCTTCAGTAATTGTTCTTGCCAATTTATCTGTCCGGTGTTTCTCTAATTTTTAACAGAAGGATTTTAAACACTTCGAAAACTGTTACAAAGATTATAAACCAGAGAAACCTTTTGTAACTACAAAGCAAGGTGAATGATTTTTTTTTTTTTATTTATTTATTTATTTTTAAAAGCCATTACATGAGATTGTATATTTGCAATAGAAATGCGATTTTATTAATTTCTAGGCAGACCCTACTTTATTGGGAATATATTAATCAGAGTTAAGTACTATTCTTTAAAGTTTTCCTGTGAACCAAATTCCAAGAAAGATGCAGTAAATAAATTTATTAGTAGAATTTGAAAACAGGTGACAGGTTTCTGTTATAAAACGTTCCAGAAAATTAAATAAGATGAATACAGCATAAGAAAACCGTTCTTCCTCCTTTGTCTTTCTCAAACAACCAGTTCAGCTTATAGATATTACAAAAAATAAGTATGTGAAGATAATGAAGTTTCAGGTCATGAGTTTTGTTTATATAAACCTTTTATTGTCAGGCTTCCTATGATAATGTAAGCACAATGAGGCAGGAGCTTAAAGCTTTAGACAGAGATGTAAAAAACTTAAGCAATTTCTTTCACATCCAATGCAAGTTGAAAGGAGAACCAAGTTGCGCCGATACTATTTCATTAGTTCAACATCAACTGAAGACAAGAGCATGTTGCAGGATTATATGTCATGATTTACAGGTATTTTTTACATGATATGACATTTTGCAAACACGAAATAAATGTCTTATGTCACTAAGAGACTCCTGTGATTTCAACAGCTATGGAATATTGATCATTTTGAGATTAAGAATGGCCATTACAACATTCTTCTCAGTTATCATGGTTACGTCTTGCAAAGGTTTTCTCTCTTTCTCTTTGGATGTTCTTTTGGCTAAGTCATGGACATTTTCTTTCTTATTACAAAATTCAAGTATGACATGTGATTTCATGTTGATGATATCCAGGTTTATGGGTACTGTGGGCCCAACATCAAACATAGCCATCTCACACAATATGAATGATATAAAAATCACAAAGGTACTGAGGTCAATAAGTTGTTTATTTTACTATTCTTTTTCTAAATGGTTATATTTTTTAACATCAGGAATTCCCAAACATGGATGTTCAAGTTGCATTTGGTTTTGTGCTAAATGCTGAGGCCACCGAAAAAAGTTCTGAGTTGAGATGTTTGCCTTTGGCACAAGAAACACAAGTATGTTACTATTTAAGTGAATGGAATATTACGTGCATTAGTTATAGTAATTGTGATACTGGGTTTCAATTCCCATAGGGTCAAAGTGGATAATATGTTTCTAACTCCACATTCTGTACTGCTTTTTCACTTTGGTCTATATATAATGCAGGTAACCCGTTCACTGCTAAGAAATCTGCTAGATGTGGTTGAGGAAGTGCACCTGGCTCGACTTGAGATTGTAAATTTGATTCAAACAAATTTTCAAACTCCATCTGGTAACAAAATCTACTCCTCTAAATGTGATAATCAATTTGTTTATCTGAACTTTCACCTCCACATATAAAGTTATTTTTGTACTAAATTGTTGGTGATATGTTCTTGTTTATAGCTGAGCAACTTGATCTGAAGCTTTGTTTCCTTAACTTTAAGAGTGGTAGACAAGTGGCACTGACTCTCGACGTGACCTGTTTGAAAAGGTACAATCCTATCCAATTTCCTTGACTATCTCGTTGCTTATTTAATTTGGAAATTTATACCATATTAATTGGCTTCATATAGTTGAACCAGTCACGTATAATCAGTATTAAAGTATTCTATCACCGCTGCAAATTCCTGTTGCACTTTTAGATTTTGTGCCCATTTATCCGTTCTTTGTATCTGTATACATTTAATCATGTTACTTGGCCCAACAAACACATTCAGATTCCTAAACAATACTACACTCTTCTGTTTTTATTTAGGTTCTTAGGTGATGACTCGTGGGTATCATGATCATCATGTGTGGTTAACAATGCAATAATAATAATGCACTTCAAAACTGCCCTCCTTGTCTTTACCACCTTAAAGCTCTCCGAAATGCTATATGGACTACTTTGTTGGCCCTCTGTGTGACAGAGAACTCTCTGCTTCTTTAGAAACAATGTGAAACTCCTTGTGATTATATGCAAATGTTCGTTGTTACTTCGTCTGTCAATATCCTCTATGCCTTTCATACCTCAATGTGCTTTATACGCACATATACCTTAGTGCTTTTGAATAAATGGTGACTTGTTTGTTGCACATATACCTTAGTGCTTTTGAATAAATGGTGACTTGTTTGTTGCACATATACCTGAGTGCTTTGAATAAATAGTGACTTGTTTGTTGGTTTCTGGACAGTGGGATTTATCCCTCAGAGATCCTTCCGCATCAGATACAGGCTTCCGAATCTGCAGTAGAAAAGCCGCTGCCTGAGTCACTTTTAGCTGAAATACGAGCTGCAGCGGAGAGTCTTGATTCTGGATATACGAGAATAATGAGGCTCTGCAAGTGTATCTCCAACGTGGTGTAACTTCACACACACAGTATTTCCAAGGGAGGTCAAACGCGTCGCCAATACATCGTTGGAATTTACCTTAGGTCACCCTAGTTGCATATTTAGCTAAAGATAGTTCGATAACTCGGGTTTTTCACCCAAATCCTATAGGACAGACTCTTGTAATCGAGTTCTATCGCTCGAACCGTGCATGGTCACGCTAACATATTGAACTTGGCGAGGTTGAGCGCACATTCTTATCTTTTGTTGTAAGTTCCAACATTTATGATCAGCAATGTCTTCGTATTTTTGCTATTGAAAGACCAAAAGAAAGAACAAATTGTTAGTAGGGCTTTCCAAGGGGACAAATTTATTTATTTCTTTTTCGAGTAAATTGTAGTTATAATTCTTTAATTTTAACTTAATTGGAACAATGGTCCCTCAACTAAAAATCAATTACCATTGGTCTCTCAACTCATCAAAACGTGCAGTTATGGTCCTTCAACTAAAAATCTATTACCATTAGTCCCTCAACTTTAATTCAACTAGAGAAATGGTCCTTTAACTTTAACCCAATTGTAGTAATGGTCCTTCTAACACAACTTGTTTTGACAAAATTTTTGACGTAGTTGACGAAAATGATCATAATTACAGACTTTGATGAGTTGAGGGACTCTAATTATATAAATGGTTATTCCAACATAATTTATTTTGACAAAATTTTGATGAAATTGATGAAAAAGACTATTAGATACACATTTTGATAAGTTGCGGGACCAATGATAATGAATTTTTAATTAATGGATCATTGCTCCAATTTGATTAAAGTTAAGGGATTATTATTCCAATTTACTCTTATTTTTCAGACCAAAAGAAAAGTGGATAAGGAATATTTTGTTGCTGCGATGTCGACTAGATATTTTCTGAAAAATTGGAATCTCCAATTTAAATTGACAGGTGGATCTGTCTCTGTGGCCTACCAAGAGCTATTTTCGGCTTGTAAGGTAGAAGATATTTGTCCCAAACGAAAAAAGTGCAAGATATTTTCTTGATCTTTTTAATCTTAGAAAAAATCTGAGTTGAATGGTCAATGGCACCCAACCTTTTTCATACGGGTAGTTGCCTCGGTGGACCGTTTTTCCATATTTGTTACGAAATTTGCTTTCTGGTTTTCTAAAATTGTATCTGGACGTAGCTTTTTAAGGGACAAGTTGAGATTTTCACTTGGGCAAAATGGTAATGTGCAAGAGTTTTTCCAATGGATAACTCATGAGTCATAACTGAGTGACGTGTCCTATGTCGAGATTGAGGGTTGCTACTTGCTACTGATAATTGTCTTTCAACACTCATTAACGGTTTGATGGTCATTCAATCGACCAAAATAGTATTAGGCAAGAGTTTGTCCAATGAATAACTTAGTTGTTGGCGTGCTCTTTGTTGAGTTTGAGAAATGCTATTCATAATTGTTTTTAAACATGCATTAACGGTTGACAGTCACTTGCACGCGTGAGCACGCTTAGGTTTGAAAAATGCTACATAATTTACCTTTGCAACCACAAACAGTTGATAGCCACTCATGCGTAATGAAGTTTCTCACCTCCAATTTGAAAATGCTTGTTTTTATTTTTTATTTTTTTTATCAAACAATTTGAAAATGCTTATGACAATTGAACGCTCTTGACGTTGATGGATTTGTGGGCCCCACACCCTACGCACGAGTTTTCCTTACTATTGTTTATATGTGACTTCTATATATATCTTTTGTTTTAGTACAACAATATATATTTAAATTAAGAGGAGGGAGGAGTTCAGCTAAGCCACACAATAAGCAATCTAATTTGGTATCGAATTCATCATCTACGTGATTCAAACATAAGACCTATTACTTACAAATGAAGAGGAATACTATCAAACAGTAATACTGTGTGACGGCTTCTATATATATCTTTAGCTTCCGCTCAAACTAATAACTTCTTTTACTCGTTAACGTAAACTTGCTGAAAGAGATACTAATATATTGATACACATTTGCTAGCATAGCATTACAAAAAGGGTCCTCGAAATCTGAAGTTTGATTTTTGTGTGAAAGATTAGCTTATATTTAATAATTAATAAATTATAAATTAAGGATGTTCTGGTTTATAGATTTAGGTCAACTTCTTAATTTTCTTCCTTTTTTGGTGGACTTAAATGATATGCTAATTGCTAATATAATACACGTTAATGGTCTCTTTAACCTTTATCAGTGGCACGGGGAGTCGCTGCCACTGGTAAGTCTGGAAGACTGGTAGTGGTAGTCCAGCAGATAATCCAGTCCAGGGAGAAACAGCAGATAGTCCAGCCCAGGGAGGACCGAAAGGATAGGATATTATGTAGGCAACGTGGCATGATGTGATGGAGACAAATTGTTCACAAGAAGGTTAGTTTGGTAAATACACACGAAAATTTGACAGATGACCAAAAGGGTAACACTTTTTTGTGGGAAGAAGATCCTCTCCTGAGATCAGGATGAGAATCCTCCTGATCAGCCTATCTGAGCTATTCAAACGTAATTCAATGGTTACAATTATTATAACTTTTAAAGAGTCTGCCTGTTTGGAATCGTTGGATTAAATTTGAACAACCCAGATGAGCTGGTCAGAAAGATCCTCATCCTGAGCTCAAGAGAGGATCCTCTTCCCTTTTTGTGAGAGTGGGGTTTGTAAGTTGGGAAAAGGATCTTCGTTGGATCCTTTCTGGGAAATCCGTGATATGTCTGTTCATCGTACATCATAAGATCAGAAATAATTTGAAATTTAAAATTTAAATTCAAATATAAATAGTGCATAACGAAAACTAACCGTACAATATAAGTTGAATCTCACATGTCTTTTCTTTGGCCTGCCTTATCTCTTATTACAATTAGCTGAGCACTAATCACAATACATAATAAACTGTTTACCTCAATACATTTGATTAAGCTCATCTAATATATACTTTGCTTCCTATCACCTCCCACTTTTCTTGTTGCTTCCAACTTCTTTGGGGTTTTGGCCATTTGTAAGATTTTTGTATGATAAACAAGAGAGTTGATAGATGGATAACTACCCTAGCTTTTAGGACGTAAAATTACTTGCATCTGGTTGTATATTCATTTGTCTTTGTTACTCTTGTCACACAATGAGTCACGTAGTTTTGCGATGAGAAAATAGAGATAAATGAATATGGCAAGTCTAGGGCTTGATTCCTTTTGATGTACCACCAAAAAATGATAGATAATCCTAATTTTGGATAACAACTTATATGCAACACTATAACTTTTTCCTTTGTATTTGATTGTCTCGTCCCATGATGCGTCATGTGTTGGGCTGAGATTGTTGAATGACCAAAACACAAAACTTTGTGAGTAACGGCTGACCTGAGCTTCAAGCAGCCATTGAAGTCGATGTGAAGAGTTTGAAGTATGCGGAAGCAACTTTAAACGCCTATAGTCTTCTACAAAGCACCCACCCTTATCAACGCACTCATGAGAAGTCTATATGTTGTGTTTAGGGTTTACATAGACTGCTAGGATTTTATAGCTGTTAGGTTTTGACTTCTGTCTATTCAAAGCCCTCCACACCCCCGTAAAATATGATTAGTTTTGGTGAATAATATCAAGACGTTAATCACAGTAACTTGCCCTTTAAAACAAAGCGATCGACAAGCTAATTATATTTGATTTCATGTAACATGATATTAGACTCTAATTACATTCCTATTGATTTGTAGGATCATTTTAAGGTTAATTTATGTTGGAATTCAAATCCAACGTTAATGTTAGAATTCAAATCCAACATCATGTAGTAACGTGAGGAGAGTACAACACAAATGAATAAACATCTCGTTGCGTGTAAAAATTTTCCCTGATTAACTCAATGCTATGTTAGATATACAGAATTGTCATTTAAAAGCACGAAGACAGGTGAATATACACCTAAATTTCTTTCCTATTAACTCCAATGCTATAAATGGTATAGAATATGTCATTTTTAGAAAGGTAAGAAAAGGTATATTCACACACACCAACCTTAATAAATTATAGTCATCCAATTCAATCATGTAGAGTATAAGGTGAGGTGGATGCACCATAGTTATGATAGGACTTAGGTGTGAAAAGTGCAAATATAGGCTATAGTGGGATCATATATTATGTCATGGAGTTATGACTCATTAGAGCACGATTATCATTATTGGCCTATTATTGTTGAATGTCAAATTAATAATTGTATATGGAGACTTTGCCTTCACTTTTTGGGGTGTCTTTGTGTTGTTGATATCAAGTTGCCTCATCAACACTCATATGAAGGTTTCTAGAGCTTTAAGGATTGGATTTAGGGGATGTAGTAGCAAATTAAGATAGTGCAAAAGAAAAGTACCCTAGGATTGGATTGGATGGCCGTCTAAGACATCAAAATCAAATGAAAACTCAAATCAAAGATCGAAACGGATGTGGATTAGTCAGTGGATGAAGATGATGTGTCTGTCTTTTTTATTGGAATTCAGATATCTTACCTTGTTAATTAGAATATTATTTTGTCATCAGTCGAAAAAAAGGAGATATGTGTAAGTTAAGTCGGTTGTCTAATCCGTTGTGTTTGTTCACTTAGATCTGAAGTCAAATCTCCGTTCATATAAACTAGATTAGAGTTTTATTTTTGTCAAGTGTAAGAATTTTATTTAAATTCTAATTAAAACTTTACATCAACCGTTAAGATATTAAAAGGTCGAATTAGCTCTGTATGATCCTATCTAGATTAGTTTAGGACATTACTTTGTAAGAAAATAAACCAAAAAAAAGAAAAGAACTATAAACAAAAACAAAAGATCATCAAAAAAAAAAAAAAAAGTAAAAAAATCAGACCAAGGGGAAAAAGAAAAACAAATAAACAGAAAAGCTATGGACAGATGTAAGATAAGTGATTAGGACACATGACATGGCAAATCATGTGGGATTAGGCCATATAGATTAGATTAAGGACCATGTGGAAGCACTTTTGACAACTTTTACACCTTATTTACATATTCCAAAAAGGAAAATAAAAAATTCCCAAAAGAAAATCCCAAAGAAAAAACAGAGAATCAGAGAGATATTAAAAGGGAGTTAGCTTGGAAAATTAAATACGAATTTTATATGATGAAGGGACCTAGAAAAGTGAAGGGCCTAACTTTTTCCCTGCACTAGGAAAATGACAGGGACCCACACAAGTAATGCACTTTTTATCAACTTTGCTGAAGTCACCATCTTTTGGAGCCCCCCTGACACCAAAACAACAACATTATGCTTATGCTCACACCCACCCCTCCTCCCCAACCCAATCTTTCTATCTTTTCCATCTCCACATAAGAAAGAACAAGAAATTTGGGAGAAAAAAACCCCAAAAAACCCAAAAAGTTCATATCTTTGGGAGCCCTTCAGAAATATCAAAAGCTGTTTGTCTACAGATCTTATCCCCCTCTCCCTTTCTCTTGGTAAAGTTTACTGAATGCTCTCTCTGTCTGTTGGTTTTTTGTTTTCTGTTACTACTTTTCAGGCTTATTTATAGTTCAAAGTTTTATTGGGTGTTTGTAATGGATTTACTTTGATATTTCCTCTGTTGGTGGGTCTGATAATTCTTATCTGAAAATTCAGATGGTGAAGAAATAATATATAGGGCCTAATTGAACTACCCTTTTATTCATTTTTTGTTTTGAAGAGAAATTTGAAGCCAAAATCTTTGCTGAAAAACTTGTTTAATCTGTTAAATTCACCCAAAAGATTGTACCTTTTGTGTTTTTGGTGATGGAAGTTTGTTAAAAGCTTTTGCTTTTTCAACTTTCTGATTATATTTTCTTGTCCAAATATATCTGCAAATTTGGTTTTTGTATGATTTTTTCTGGTTTTTTTTTTTTTACAAAATAAACATGTTTGTGAAGCTCTTGTTTGAAAGGATGTTTTAGATATTTAGATCCATTTTTTAACCAATTTTTCAGATTAGTAATCATAGCATCTCCTATAATTGACATAGTAACTTCCCTGTTTCAATAGGCAAAAAAGAGCCTTTTTGTTGTTCTTGTTTCGAATTTGTTGTCTACGAAAACTTGTTCGTGTTCTTCTTGCAAGATCTTTTTACAGCAGTAATACTGAATTTGTGTGAATGATGTTGTTTGAAGGTTGTAGTGAGATACACTCAGCAGAATTGTGGTCTTTTTGAGAAGCTAGTTTCGGTTGGATTCGTATTCAATTTGGATAATTTGGAGAAGTTTTGATTAGAAGAGGAGAGGAAAAAGTTGAAACATGGGTTACATGTGTGACTACTGCCAGGTTCAAAGGTCCATGGTGCACTGCCGGTCTGATGCGGCATGCTTGTGTTTATCGTGCGACAGAAATGTCCACTCCGCAAATGCCCTGTCTAGGCGTCACTTGAGAACACTTATTTGCGAAAGATGCAATTCACAGCCTGCATTAGTTAGATGCACAGAAGAGAGAGTGTCTCTTTGTCAGAATTGTGATTGGATGGGTCACCAAGCATCTACTTCAGCTTCTGGACATAAGAGGCAAACCCTCAACTGTTACTCCGGCTGCCCATCATCTGCCGAACTGTCGTCTATCTGGTCATTCGTATCAGATTTACCTTCTAACGGAGAATCTGCTTGCGAGCAGGAAATGGGATTGATGAGCATCGCTGAGAACAGCACCAGAAGTGAATGGAGCCAAACTGAAAGTAACACCAGGCAAAGTGCATCTGGTGCAGATGAAGTGAATCCTGCGCATTCCATGGAGAAGTCTGGTATTCTGGTTGGTTCCTCTTCGGTGCCTGAACGTAGTCATGCTCGTCATGTTGTTGGCCAGCTGTCCGGATCTGTAAATGCTTCATTGCCTAAGGTAATTTTTATTCCAAAATTATGATCTTAATACAGTATTGGGTACAGTCATGTGTATGATTTTGTTCTAAGTTTGAAGTTTCTTCATCAATGACCTTTGGAATTTCGTGTTATGATTATACAGCTGTACTCTCATGGGGGCAAAGGTACTGGACTCCCTGAAGACGATGACCTTTATGATGATTTAGACATGGATGAAATGGAATTGAATCTTGAAAATTATGACGAACTGTTTGGTGTATCTCTCAATCACTCTGAAGAGCTTTTCAAGAACGGCGGGATTGATAGCTTGTTTGGGGCAAAGAACGTGTCCAGGGATTGTCAAGATGCGGTTGCTGCTGATGTAATTTTGTCTCCTTATTTTCGTGCTTTATGATGCTCGGTCTTTCGTCATCTGTTTTTGTTCATTGGCTGGGCCCTTGTCTTAAGACTAGACTACTGTATAACTAAAAATTGCTTTCTTTATCTTACAAGTAGCCGTTCTGAACTTTTTGGGTTTTTCTTTTGAATATTTCTTAATGTAGTTGGTAAAGCATGTCCAGATTTGAGTTTATAAAATGTATTTGTGGTTAACTATTAGTGCTTTTTTCCAGGGGTCTTCATTTGGACTGGGAAATGCTCCACAGCCAGCGTGCAGTAACGCAGCATCTGCTGATTCTGTAATGAGTACGAAAACTGATCCAGTTATCTGCTTTCCAGCAAAACAAGCACATTCAAACCTTTCGTTTTCGGGCATCACTGGAGAGAGTAGTGCTGGTGATTGTCAAGATTGTGGAGCGTCCTCAACGCCATGGTATCCTCCTTGCCCTGAGAGTTCCATGCAGTCAGCTAACCGTAGTAATGCTGTTATGCGTTACAAGGAAAAGAAGAAGGCTCGCAAGTAAGTGTACTCCAAAAAGTAAATATATTAGCAAGCATGCACACAGACTACTATTTGTTCTTCATTCATTTATTAAGCCAGCAATCGTTTTCTAGTTTCTTCACCTCTTTGTTTGATCACTTCTTGGAGTAGTCTTATGTTTGTTTCTTATTATTCGCCATATATAGAGATTTAACTATGTAGGGTACCTTGATTTCTTTCTCTACTTTCCTTTGGATGAAGTGGTTACACTTTCACGGAAGTCTTCTTTGGTTATGAAATTCGCATTGTCTATTGAACATCTATATTTTCTGTTGTCCTTTTGATAGGTTTGAGAAAAGGGTGAGGTATGCTTCTCGCAAAGCACGGGCTGATGTAAGAAAGCGTGTCAAGGGCCGCTTCATTAAAGCTGGTGAAGCTTATGACTATGACCCTTTGAACCAGGCCAGAACCAGAAGCTACTGAGTACAATTTTTAACCATGTTATATAATATAAAAGACGGTGTGATCCTTATAACGTAATGGTAGATGAAGCTGATGCATCTTTTCCTTGTGCAGTGAAAAGCTGTATGATTTGTATCACAGGGCCTTGGTTTCATTGAAAGAGAAGGGTTGATGCAAACGGCCAGGTTCTGATGCTTCACTAATAAAGTGGAGGAGCAGATTTCTGATTCTAATCACCATGACAGATTGACTGATCGTTGCATTATCCAGAGCGTTCGTTTCCCTTTATGTTTCTCTAGCCGAAGTTCATCTGTTCAATTATTCTCCCGGGAGGATTCACATTGGTCTTCCAAACCATTACTATGCTTGATGCCTCGATTATCCCTGTTATTATATTGTCCTCCTGCTCCGATGACTCCTATAAAAAGCGGCTGCCATGGCATCTTTGCGGCTGAACTTGTAGTTTCCGGTCATTAGGTTAGCCTTGGCTTGTTATTTTTCCCCTTTTTCTGTTCATTTGACATGCACATGATCTGTACGTATGCCGTTGAGTGTTATGAGCTCTGACCTAAGAGGTAAACTCGAACTTGTAAATTTCGCTTTCATTTTTGTTGGCCTGGGTAGACAAGAACAGGATGCTTTACATATGCAGTTTAGGGAGATTAGTTTGTAGTTTCTTTATACCGATAAGAGGAGGGGGATGTTAATTCGCTGCCGTTGCCGTAAGATGTAGTATCTTAATTGGAATACACTTCACCTTGTAATTCTAGTGTGTTACTATCACATGTACTGTCAATAAATTCTGCACCGTTCTTTCGGATGCCGGACAAAACGTAGTTTCTTTCGGATTTCAGTTTACGCCTTTTGGATGCTAAGAAAGTCCGGTGTTTTGTTGCGCATCATTGTAATATCCGCAAAAATATATTCCGCTTCGCTTGCAAATGCGGGTGTAAAGTCAATTGTTTCTGTGAGCTGCTTCTTCAAAATCTTCGTAAAAGAAAATTTTGCACAAAATGAGCAAGAAAAACAGGATATTTTCGCTAATTGCATCAGAAAGCACTCATTTATAACATTAATAGAAATCGAAAACAAAATTCCTCCTGTGCAGTAGCAACAAGGATAACACGGTAGTGTTTACAGAAAGTACGCCTAGGAAACAATCAGCACATAGCAGTTTGTGCAGTTTCACAGCATCAATCATCATCGGAACTATCTCCAGCCGTTTGTGCAGTTCCACAGCATCAATCGTCATCGGAACTATCCCCAGCCACCCTTCCAATGTCATCTTCCACAATGGAATCCTGTATGCAAATTACAGCAATTTGTCACCAGAATACATAATTGCAACTAGAAGTGCATTGTGTATGCGCGCACGTGTTTATGTGAGAGCACGCGAGTGTCTGACAGGTGAAACACTTTAAGATGTGATTAAAGATCCTTACCGGCTTCTTATCCCAGTCTTTCAATTTGGGATTTGTGAGCATGTAATTATCTCTTAAGGGAGCCCAGGCTGGCCCTTCACCATCCACTGCGCCTTTAGACGCATGAGCCTGCATGTTAAATCATTCTCACATATAAAACCCACAAATAAATAATTAAGAAAATATACTTCGGCAATTTGGCACTACCAACAATTCAATGGAACCAGGTGGTTGGAAGATAAATATTTCAGAAAAGGACCTTCAACATCAGATATCGATCCTCCAAACATATTTTGGAGCAATGGTATATTTGATTGTTCAAATCTTTGAAAATAAGAAACAAGAATGTCTACAACCATACCTTCCCCAGTAAGGAAGATCAAGATGGTAAAAATGCTGTGGGAGAATGCAAGGAACTAAAACAAAATAAAAAAGTAGCTGACCTTCGAAGATGTTTTGCCCAACTCTGAAAAGAATGCTTCTTTCCTCCGCTTTTTTATCACTGGAAACATTTGGACAATGATATAAGGAGGTAATTAAACACACAATCAGAACAGAGGTTTACACATTTAAACTCAAAATTTGCAACTGCCAACAGAGAAATATGTGTTCCAATAGTCTCACCAACAAATATTAGATTTGTGTAAACTGAATTTCAATAAGCATAAATAACTTGCCAGAATACACTTTGTTTACAGGGTTTGAGTGCTAATGGTGAATTTGTGTTCAAAAGGCATTCATGATTCAAACCAAGGTTTTAAAAGGCAATCAAAATATGTGAAAAATAGGATACCACAAGAAAACATTAAAAAACTGGCACTGATACACCATCTATGAGAAAAATATAAATCATAAGATGACAGCATTCTTTTTTTCGGTTAATTAGAGAATGTGCGAGGCTGCTTGGAGGACAATTGATGGGGAAGAGACAAAGAGTCCCCTCAAAAGGCCTCGCCACAAAACACTGAATTAATATCTGCCTCCTAACTAAGCCATGTATGAAATCCAAATCAACTCATACGGCTACTCAAGAGAGGCAGGAATAAACATAAAATCACAAAACAGTTCAACACTATCTGTGATATGATGAAAACGTATTGCTTTCGCTATCAGTTTAAAATTCAAAACTAACTCAACCACATAGTTGATACCTGAAACTTAACAAAATAAATTGGCAAAACATAGGGCCTCAGCAAAACTGAAGGTCTCAAATTGTAGCCGCAGTACTAAGAAGTCAGAACACACCTTTGGCATCTTTAAACTTGGATGGATTCAGTCCTTTCTGAGCATTTTGTGCCTTGTTGACCTGCATTAGACACGAACACAAGCTCATGATTCAATGCGGCGCAACAGAAACAATCTTACAAAACTTAAAACTTTTAAACTCCCGATTCGAAAACAAGCAAACAATTAAATTCACATAAAGCAACTTACAGCATTGAACAACTTCACCACTGAACATCCAGCATTGCACATGGTAAATGTGAGCTAAGTCAGTATGAGAAAGAAATTTGATAACTCCCACAAGACAAATAACACGATCAAATATATCTTAACCAAAGGGAAAAAATTCCGGTACCTCCTTTAGTAGCAACACCGATTAGAAACTTTTCGTGCGTGTCCAAATAATTGGCCGGCATCACATGCCCTTTTTCTATCACCTATCAAATCAAAACGATCTAAACAAATAAGCATTAAACCTCTCAAGCAAAAATGTTGGATACATACACATTAAAATAAAAAACAAATCGAAGATATGAACTACCGTATGCTTTTCCTTCTTAGCCTCGCCCTTGGCCTTGCGCTCCGTCTGCTCCTCGGCAAGCTTTTCTGCAACAAGCTTCTTGTGCGCCGACATCACGGGTCCCTGTAAAGCAATCAAATTTTGTTATTGAGGAGTCAAGACACAAAAACTAAACAATTAGACATAGCAGCTCAACTCTATATAACTCACCACTGCATTCAGAGAAACTGACTTCTTGATTATACTCTTGAATGCCAACCTAAACGCATTGCAACCCTCCGAAAACTTCATGATTCCGGGCAGAATCTCGCCGTGCTCCTCGTCATCCGAAACTGTATCACCCCTATTGCGACCACCACCACCACCACCTTCCTCCGACTCTTCTCCTGAAGACGACGCGGCACCGCCAATCGGCTCGTTCTCATTGTTTCCCAACGGTTTCGGTTTCACATCTTCCTGTTTGGACTCCTCCTCCGACTCCGAATTGTAGTCCTTAGCTCGTTTCAGAAACAGTTTCTTCATTTTATTGTTAAACTTCTTCGGCTTCATGGCTCTGATTTCCTCTGACGAATGTAACATCTTCGCTTTCTTCTTTGCCTTCGAGCCTTTCTTCTTCCCTATTTTCCGCTTCCTTGGCTCTGTTGCTGCTTCTGGCAGATGGGTTTCTTCGGCCATGGCGTCCTATGCTCCAAACCAAATCAAGGTTGAACCTTTGGCTGCTGCTGCTGCTGCTTCCGCCGATTACTGGCTGGGCTATTTGTGAAAAAGGAAAATCACTAGCAGAGAAGAAACTATAAACCGGCGGCACAACTCGAGAAGAAGAAGATAGTTTGCCCTATTTTTGTTTCTATAATTTGCTAGACGATGGCGTTTTATTAAGAAATAATGATTTTATATATCTATTTTTATCTCTTATACATATTTGTTAATTTTCGATCACTGATATTCTTCGTATTTGATCTGATGGTCAAAAATTAAGAGATTGTGTGAGAAGTAAAAATTGGTGTGTAGGTAGCACTACTCTTTATTAAAGGTTTTCTTTCTTCTTTTTTTAATTTTTTTTATAAAAAGATAGTTTGTCTTTACACGTGACCTAATATCTTAATAAATAAGATGTTAGTTTTATATCCATGCACTTTTGATAGGGTAGCCACCAATATACCAATGGTGCTTCGGGCTCATATGTCCTGATAGGGGGTGGGCATTTGTGCAAGTCAACCGACCAACTTGACCAACCTACCCAACATTAATTGGGTTGGGTAGGTTAAAAGCCCAAAAAAACTATTCCCGGGTTTAAACCCGGTCACCTGATGTCATAGCCAATATTACAAACCCCATTGAAACCTGGCCATCCAAATATAGATATATGATTGCTAATTTATGCGATTTCTTCTCTCAATTCTGGCCGTCAAACCCGTACCCAATTTCACTCCTCCTTCCGTCAAACCCTCACATTATGTTTGGATGAGGAAAATAAATTTGGAATTTGGTAAAAGTCGGAGTTTATAAATTGACATGCACCAATTTCTTGGAATATGGGACATCTAATTCCCAAGTTTAAATTCCATGTAAATAGGTGTCACAACCCGTCCCGAATTATTTTTATCGATAGCGTGAATTGACGAAATTGCCCTTGAGCGTTTGGTGATGGTGTGTGTAAATGGGCTAAGGTTTTGGACCAATTAAGTTCATTTCCTAACTATTTGGACCTAATCAAATTTTAAAGTTGTATTTGTTTTGGTTGGTGACCCAATTAGGACCATACACATCACCCTCATCCAATTCTATTGACTTTCTTTCTCTCTCTCCCTCTTGATTTTTCTTCCCATTTTTCGTACAAATCGTACAGACAAGTTTCAATATCCATTTCATTCACGAATCGAAGACTTGAAGGTTGGTTTTGTGTTCCTTGAAAGCCCAGGAACACATTGCTACCCTTAGTTGGTCGTGAGGACGTCGGGATAATGAGAACTCGATTCCTGATTTGATGCACTGTTCATGCACACGTAAATGTGCAGTTTTCAGGGAGTTTTGAGGTGATAGGAAGCTTTAGATCACTCCCCCGAAGCTTGGAGAAGAAAGTTGAGGCGTTTTGGACGTCAGGAAGCTCGGGAATAGTGAGTTGCAGAGGTGGCCGGTTATCGTGGATTTTTCCGGCAAGATCCCATGAGTTTTAGGTCCTAAAACTGGTAATGATTTGTTCTACTTGTCTTAAGCTTCATTTTGGTATAAAATTCGTGAAATTTGGTTGAGAAATGAAGAAGATATTAAGGTTTTTTTTCAAATTTCCAGTTTCCGGCGACGGCGATTGGCGATCGGCGATTCGCCGGAGAAGAAATGAGAATATTTCGTCGATATTGACGAAATATTCCTAACGGTAGCTAACGGCATCAGCTTAGTTTTAACAGAATATTCTAATTTTTAGCGGAATATTCCCTAACGGCGGCTAAGGATTCCGTCAGGGTTGGCTGTGCGTAGAGGCATGTCTAGCTGTGCCTTGGCCGGCGCGTGGGACGTCGGAAAATTTTTCTAAAAATATGGGGATGTTCCTGAGGTTGAGTAGGTCACAGTGGTACATTCAAACACCCCAATTGAGCAATGTATGAGAAGTTATTTCCTAGTACGTATAAGACAGATAAGGCAAGTGAAAATGATACCACACTTCGGTACTTAGAAGTTTCGTGATTACTCAATGGCTTGGATCTTGCAAGTCCCCAATCGAGGAGCTTCCCTCACTCGGGAACTTAGGGGAGCACTGTTTGTACCATACTTGACCATTCCCGAAACTACTGAGCACCGATCAACGTTATACAGTCAAGGACTCAGAAAAGTTTCCCTCCAACCAGGAGTCCAATCACAGCACGACACGTGTTGACATCAGAAGTCAATCATAGCGCGACACGTGTCAACATCAGAAGCCAATCACAACATGACACGTGTCAATGTCAGAATGAAACTAGAAACTCTCTTCTATAAATAGAGATCATTCTCTCACAATATTTTCTAATGTCATTTGTACTAAATCATTCACTAGTATTCACAAAAGGAGAGCTTGAACCTATGTACTTGTGTAAACCCTTCACAATTAATGAGAACTCCTCTACTCCGTGGACGTAGCCAATCTGGGTGAACCACGTACATCTTGTGTTTGCTTCCATGTCTCTATCCATTTACATACTTATCCACACTAGTGACCGGAGCAATCTAGCGAAGGTCACAAACTTAACACTTTCTGTTGTACCAAAGTCATCTCTGATTTTATGCATCAACACCTTTTGTTATGTGTATTTTGTCGGAGTTACGCTTTGATGAGCTTCGATTCCTAAAAGTTCGATATTAAAATGATATGAATATGCACAATGAATGGTTCGAGAGATGTTATTAGTGGTTGTGCGAGTGGTTAAACCTGCTAAGTCGTATGCTAAGAAGTCATAACAGTCTAATCTTTTGTTTGACAAAAGTGAGATCCAAACATGTTGAAAGGGAAAGAACAAACATGTATTCATACAACTATCTTATTCGATCATGTATTGTACCATAAATCTGCACATAGGATTGATTTGCAACAATGGCAATGATGGGAAGCATTAAAATTAACTACATATGCAGATTGTACTGTAAGTCAATTTGAATAGTATGGGAATTTGGAGTCAGCATATCACTTTCTGCAAGACTAAAGATTGGTTTATAAATGGATATGCAGATCTTCTAGACGATAAACACTATTTGGCTGATCTCACAAGATTGGTTCATGTGACCACTGCTCAGGTGTTGTTTCTTTTTATATAATGTTGAATTGACAACAAATAGTGCTTATCTTCGTTAATTGGATAGGATAAGCACTATTTGTCATCAATTCAAGGTGACATTAGTTTCTACTCAATCACTGCCTGAAAGTATAAATTTTTACTACAATTTTTTTTCATTTTCTCAAACATGATGTTTTGCAATGTTTGTTAGGTGCCAAATAAATACACTAAAAACATAGTGTGTAGAATATCTTCAAAATTTAAAAACAGGTCTCAATCTTTATTCATCAATGCCTAAACATTTTTTTATATTCTTTACTTTAACTTTGACATATACATGCACTCATTTTTAACTAACCAAATGTATATTTTACTTTCAGATTTATAGCAAAATGAGCATACCTCCAATCCATATTTTGAAAACTTTTCAGTTGAACAAGAAGGTTTAGAATTTGTGTTCTGCAGGTAAAGCTCAATTTCATATAAAGTTTTCGATTTTCTTTTAAGTGAGAGAAGAAGCTGTAATTTAGGTTTATATTTTTTTCCATCGCAGAGTTACAAAGTTGGACCGAGCTTTTAAATTCCAGAGTCTTATTATTGTACAGATTGTTTGGAAGAAGTGATGATGATGTTAGACCCTCTAATCTTCTCTTATCGTCAATTTTGTGAAACCATAAATAACGGGAGTGATTTACCATTGGGTTTCAGGTATGGTATATGCAGTTGACATAAATGAAGGCCGCTTGAGAATCCTCAAAGAGACGACTAAGTTGCGCCAAGTAGATGGTGTGATCACCATTGTTCATTCGGATATCCGTACTTTTTCTGTAAGTCATCAACCCTGTACAACATTGTTATTCGGGACACAAAATTTCTTATGTGTTCGTCATCATTTTCTCCAGGATAACAATAGTACAAAATGTGATAAACTTCTGTTGGATGCTCCATGTTCTGGACTGGGTGTGCTCTCGAAGGTGATTGTATAAGATGGCATGTATTGTGTTTATTTGATTTTAAAAAATTGTTTGTTATTTGATGCTACTTTTCTTTTTAACTTTTGAAGAGAGCACACTTGCATTGGAACAGGAAATTAGAGGATATGGAGCAGCTTAAAAGTTCCTGCTCTAAAGATCCTTAAGTCTCTAATTTGAAAAACCGAGGAACAATTTTTTCTTTTGAGCAAAAGCCCATCTACTAAAATGTCTAGATTTCTCAATTGATTGAATGAAACATATGGTGAACACTATACTTTAGGCCAAATGCATTTTTGAATCACTTTTCTCTTCAGGGATTCAATGAAAGATGATGTGAAGACTTGCGATGATGGAGTTGTGTAGCTATTTTGTAGCATTTATATTTTGTGATCTCCAAATACACTTTGGATGACTATTAGATTTTGTTATGGATGTAAATAGATTTCAATATATTTCATACGTATAATATAGTTTTACAACCCGCGGCATCGCGCGGGCTCAAATGCTAGTTAGTTTCTATTTTAATCTTGAGCGTTCTTTGAGTGTTTGGGATTTGTCTTAAGAGTGTGCAAAACTTTGACAAACAATGGATGGACGGCCGGGCTTCCTTGTATCCACTTATTCGCATATTTCCTTTGCACATTGGATGTGGGGTGAATGGAGTCTGGAAGATAGCGTATATACACGCCTTGCTGCAATCTTCTATCCTTCATCATAACCATAACTCACATGCTTGCAAAATTTTCCCCAACGTTTTCAGACTCTATTTCTAGCCTTTGGTTATGGACTCTGAGGGAAGATTGAAATATTCTGTGGATGCATTGAATTGGTGGAGGCAACAATGGAGACAACGATTAGGTGGAGGCAATGCAAGAGGGGCAAAGTAATATGATTTCAGATTTATGTAAGACAATTTCAATGCTTATACATAACTCGTACAAAATTTTATAAACGAAATTCTAAATGTTTGATTGGTTTAGTTGTGAGAATTACAAATATGCATATGCTTGAATTCTGTAGATCACTTGGTATGTGTTTAATTAAGACATAAAGTGGATTGGATATCATCGTTCCATTTCACGTTGCTTCTTATTTTGTATATATGTCGTGAGCAGTTTTCTTTTCTTTGAAAATGTTTAATTTTATACTATTGAGGAAATTGCAGTGATAGATATTGGAACGGTATGGATTACTTATAGTTATATGGCATGAGGTTGTTAGGACCTGCAACTTAAAAGTGGCAACTGCCTTATAACAGCAAACTGTCCTGTCTAATGCAAAAGGTCTTGCATCTTTTGCGATATGTGTTGTTGTGTTCTTGTTACTGAAAGCATGCTTGAAGCGATGCATACGCTTACTTTACTTATACATAGACATGCTTTTGTTAATACATGAATAAACTTAAAAGCCAAACTGGAAAAGTGATTTGAAATTAGTGCTTTTGTTGACATTCAAAACTATAAAATCATGCTGTTGATGATTCATATATCTTTTGATAGGCTGCTTATAATTTGCTGATGCATATCTTGATATTGTGATATATTTCTTTTTGTAAAATTTTGATATATATTATGCATGACAGTATGTAAATTATCCAAATAAGAAGGTTAATGGGATCTTAATTAGCATACTACAATTGACTAGTGCAATGTGCGCACTAAATGAATTTAATTTTATTGTTAAATCAAAGATTAGCCTCTAGTAAAGGTCAAGTATTGCAATGAACCAACTATAATTTTGGACAAAGTTGGATCTCACTAATTGATCATGAGGTTTGCAATGATTAGAGGCAGGTTTACATGAACCCATACCTGCCATGTGAATTAAATCCTTAATATATACTAGGATTGATTCCCAAGAATGTCACCATTTGTCTTGTATGTGATCTGCAACCCAAGGAAATAGGTGAGTTTACCCAAATCCTTTAAATAAAAAACTTCAGACGGTTCTTGAAATATGTGAGCTCACTCTTAACATGCTATCAAAGCATGTTAAGAGTTGCAGAAGTACATTATATGAAGACGATTGCAAGCACCAAGTGATTTTCATATAATGAAAACACTACTATTTAAATTTTCCATCCAAGGTAACAGTGTTTGGTCCTGTAATGTATGAGGAAGTTGAGCAATGGCTCCTAATACGCATTGACTTAAAGTACTATAGTTACAGGGTACTGCATGCTTACCTATATATGATCGGGGAGGTGTTGCGCCTTCTCTAGGCGACTTGGGCTAGTCTCTAGAGCACTTACGAAGGTGGATATAGACACAAGGCCAATCCGCGTGTCGGTTTTTAGAAACACCCGTAAGGGGTTCAAAAGTAGATGTGTCTGGTTAGGTCATAATACTGGGATCGTAATTAGGTTCAAAGCATAGCTACTTCTCCATCTCGATTTAACCTTGATGTGTCTTTACTAAGCTAAGGTTCAAGTCCATAAGATACCTTAGTTATGCAGTACTAGGCTTCCAAGAAAACCGCTCAAGAAAATTTTACAATATGTTTTCAGTATATTGTATTATTATTTTGAAAGTGGTGGAGGGATTGTCTCTGTTTAAGTGTCTGGGGTTTGTCTTAGGAGTGTACAAAACTTTGACAAACAATAGGCGTAAGGTCGGACTTGAGGGCAAATAGAGTATGAAAGAAAGCATTTTATACGCGATTTGAAGCAATCTTCCATCCTCCATCATAGTCATAACTCACATGTTTACAAAAAATTTCAAACATCACTTACGCTGTTGATTTCTTCCATACATTTGGATGTCTAAAAGATATCAAATTCAAATGATTTTTGCATGAGTAATCTTCAAATGAATATCAAGAAATTGAACGGTTTCAATTCTGAAAATGGTAAAAATTCACAAAGAGTGGGATATGTGCTTCTCCTATGGGGAACGCAAAAATTATCCTTTAACCTTTCACACCCCCGAAAAATAATTCAAAAATAAAAAATAAAGGTTAGAATTAAACATGAGTGTAAGAAAAGCTATAATAAATGTGCTATCATTTTCCTTTACAATTATCCCACCCTTAACTCCCATCGAGGGTTTGGCAAAATAATCTAAATACTTGCATTGAGTGAACTCATCAATTTGTGCAAGAAAAAGGACAAATAATGTGAGAGAGAAGAGAGAATAAAAATTGGTCAATGGGCAGGACGCACCCAAGATGGTAACAAGAGGTAGGGTTTGCAAATGGTGATGGACAAGAAATAAATAAGAGATGGATGAGCACGTGAAATCCACCTGATAACATATCATTATCAGGCTTTTCCTATCAGAGTTAGCTATAAAGTTCAATGAACTTTCATGGCACTGCACGGCTCTCTTACCTTTCAAAAGATTATATATATATATGTGTGTGTATATATAGTCCTTTTTATGAAGCCACTCCTAAATTCTTAATCTTATAATCCTTTTAAAAAAAGGGGCTTTTGGATCTAGGTTAAAAAACATAGGTAGTTTTGGGACTGAGTCCAGTTATCCAATTACATATTTTGATATCAATTTTGACCCTTCAAATAAAATTATTTAAATTCTTTAATTTTTTTATCATTTATTCAATTTTTAAATTTTGAATATTTAAATACTCAAACTAAAATATTATCTAGTAACTACCTACTATTTATGAAGAAAACAAAACCGATATAATCTAGTAACTACCTACCTATTGTATAGGAAGAAAAATGCTTTATGCCTACAAAGCAGATATAATCTACCTGCAAAACAAAAATAAACTACCTATTGTATTGGAAGAAAAATGTTGGGAACCTACATGGCGGAACATAGAAATATAAATATGATATAGAAAACTTCATTTTAATCCCTAAAAAAGATGAGTTTTAGATTATAACCATATGTAAGATTAAAATCCAATTTTAGTCCCTAGCACATTTAATCATATCATTTATTAGTTGTATTTTGATGTTTTATTTTATCTTTTTATTTTTATTTTAATGTATTAATTACATTTACATTTAATTTTTATTTCATTCACCATAATATATTTTAATGTCTACATTTAGGCAACTAAATTTTTTATAATATATATTCCGATAACAATTTTGTATGTTCTTCATTTAGGTACATTAATACATTTGAATATTTTGGTATATCTATCGGTACAATGTAGTTACATGTTGTACATTGATTCAATATAATGCATTTCGATCAATATAATGCATTTCGTTACGTACACTTTGATACACACATTTTGAGTATTGACTTTTAGGTACATTAATTCAATTATTATTTCGGTAAATACATTTAGGTACATACATTTTGGTATTGATATTTAGGTACATACATTTTTTCGGTATTGACATTTAGGTTCGTACATTTTGGTACATACATTTCGGAATTGACATTTAGGTACACTTGTATTGACATTTTTTTATTTAGGTACATACATTTTCGGTATTGACATTTAGGTTCGTACATTTTTGGTACATACATTTCGGTATTGACTTTTTAGGTACATTAATTCAATATAATACATTTCAGTACATACATTTAGGTTCATTATAATATATTTCGGTACAATCATGTAGGTACAAATATTTTTGGTACAAAAAAAGTCAATTTTATATATTTTGGCACAATCATTTTTGTACACTTATGTATCTATATATTTTTTTATCACAATTTTTTTTTTAATATTTTCTCATTTACATTCATTTCTAATTAAAACAAATTAAATATGTGCATATTAATAAAATTAAAATTTAATATGGAGAGATTAAATAAAAATACACATTAAATAAGAAAAAGTGAATGTAAATTTTGATAAAAGTACACTCAAGGGATTAAATTGAATATTTAATCTAGCATCAGGTTTTTTTTTAATTTTAATCTTTTGCAAGGACTAATGTTCAAAAATCCCAATATGATATAATATACCTCCATTAAAGGAACGAATTTGGAGAGAAGAACACAAAAATATCAACCATGAAAAGAAGAGACAAAAAAGAGGAGGATTGATAGAGGGGATTCTTTGGAAGAAGGAAAAAAGAAGGGATGAAACAGACTGGGGGTTGAGGTGATTATATGGCTATAACTAATCCTACAATTAACGGATTAGTTAAACCACAAATAATCCCATAATTAAGAAATTTTGTGTATTTACTACAATTTATAAGCCTAAGGGGTAAATATGGTACAAACCACAAATAAGCATACGTGAAATCTCAATTATTAAACCTATTTCAATGAAGTAGACTAATTCTACTAATGGCTCACAAATTGAATCTATATTAAGTTATTCCTTAAAATAAACAAATAATAGCGCATGCAAATGTGAACGTAGCCGTAGTAGTTAATGAATATGTATACTGCGCCATGTACTCAAATTATAGATTAAGCTTTTTTTCGCAATTTAAATTTGTTGAACGTAGTTATATAAAACAAATGAAGTTTTCACTACAAAACAATAGCATGCATAGTTAAACGGAAAGATATGAGAACGTAGGTATATGGTGTTTCGA